AGTGGCTCTTTTTCCTGTTTCTTCCAGGTGCACCCACTTGAGAGCATCAGGAGGACCAGGAGCCCGGGAAGCGCAGCTTGCACTTCAGCTGTCATTTTCTTCCATCAATGGAAAGCTACATCTTCATTGCTCCCAGGCCTTGTGTGGAGAGAGCATCCTGGCTAGCACAATAACCGAGGTCATAAACAAGATCAGTGCTGAATAAGCCTTTCCTTGCCCAGAGACCTTTGTATTTGTGATCAGCAATAAAAGGCTGTACTGGAATTTAAAATCTCAGCCAGGTAAAATGTCAGAGATGATTATTTAAAGGCTTTAAATAAAAAAAAACAACTCTGGCTGTAAGAATCAGCCTTTTCACATTCATATTGTATGGCTGTGGACTCATACCTGGGTTATGAAAGAAGCCCAAAATAAAATGAGATGTAATAAAACAGAAGCTGAACTTAAGCAAGGATTGATTTCTGACAGTAGCTGCAAGTGTTTTAAACAGTAACTGCATACCCACATATTTGCAAGATGTTAATTGCACAATTCCCAGTGATTTAACATCGCAAGAATTAACATACTTCAATGTTCAGGATTTCAGAAACTAAGACAATGAGAAACTTCAGTTGACATAAACATGATTCAAAGAAAAGAATGTGTTTTTTTCTAAAATAAGTCACTGGCAGCAGATGACTGACATCCTACATGTGCTGAATATACCCTGTATCTCCAAGCTCTTTTGCTGTGAATTCCTTTCTATGCTGTATTTTTATGATCCTGGTTTTAACTCACAAGACGGGAACTACAGAAAATAGATAAATAAATAAGAAAACTTGTCAGATATGCCTTAACCCACTTAGACACATACAAGCCCTGAAAAATAAAGAAAAGATCAATATGAAAGAGTGGGCCAGAACTTCAGATGGGAAGAGCCAACACAGGGAGCAGAGGACATTTGTTAGTGAGGAGTGATGTGGAGGAGCTCAGACTATAGTACAAATAGGTATATACCTATCGAAGTACTTAGGAAGACTTGAGTTTCTGCAACTAAGAGGCAGAGGACATTCTGAAGACCAAAATCTTCATCAATGTCACTGTTCACAAACAGAATCTTCATTTTTAGACTTGTGGTTAAATCAATATCCAGTTGTTCAAAATAACAGCATGTGCTCTTCGAAAAGAAGACATTGCACTGCTAATTCCAGATAAGTAAAGCCTGGCTTTACTTTGTTTTTGTCTGGAACATTATCTCACTCAAGATTATCTTTCATAAATACTGACACAAGCTACAGGGGCTTTATGTTATTTCATAAAAAAACCTTTTTTCTTTTCTTTCTCTTCTTCTTTCCAAATTATACCCACAGGTCCAACTGATACTTTCAATTGCAACAACAGGCAGCCAGACAAGAACAGTACAAGAAATTTTATCTTCAGTATTTATTGTTATGCCAGAATATCACTCAGTTTCCTCTGGGGTAATTCAGCACTCCTGTGGGAAATATGTGACCTCATTTGCATTTTCTAATTGAATTGCTATCAGGTTTCCTGCAAGACTGAACAAAAAAAGTTCCCAGAGTTACTAACATCACTTGTATTAACCAGGAAAAAAAGTTTATGTTCAAGTGCTTGCTGGGGAGGAGGGAAAACTGTATGCTTCATGTATCATAAAATACATTCAAAGAATATTTACCTACTTTGCTATCATTTCCTCCTACTAGCATGAAACCTTAACATAGCAGTTAGACTTCCTTCATTACAGAAGTTACCACTGAAAATGTGCAGGTCTGCCCCGGTTATACAGTCACCTTTAGCAGTTAGCACATTTATAAGGCCAACACTATGAAGGACAGGAAGCTGTTGTCCTACCGGGTCACTCACCATTAAAATGTCAGCTTGTGTGAGAGTAACAGCACAGTTGTGGGAGCTCATGTGCAGGTATCGACACCAAACCCTCTGATTTTGCAATGACAGCAATGTTGATATCCCCACAGGAACCACCCTGAACTCATCTGCCGCCCTGAAAGCATGCTGGCCACCACCGAAGCTCTCCCAGCCCATTACGGACATTTCCAGTCTTACACAATGCGATGATAAAGGATCACAAATCCAGAGGCTCATGTATTGAGGGGTTTGTCCTCTGTGCCCTCCTGGGAAATAGACCGCTGACCTCACTTTGCAGGCAGGCTACAGGAGACTGGGTTTGCTCCCCCCAGAATGCACCAGGAATTTGCAGCAGAGCAGGGACCTCACTTCTGGTCCCCCAGGACCTCAGCCAGTATCCCAACAATGTTGACTTCTATAACATTTATTCTGTATTAACCTTCATAATAAACCAAATGTCTAATAATTGCTATTCCAGGAGAGCTAATCATTTTCTCATGAAGCTTTAATCCATGGATAATAAGGAACAAGATTCTGATTTATCCTTTCAGAGGGGATTCAGAGGGGTAGCACACAGTGGGGCTGCTCTAGCTGAGGGCCATCAGTCATGGAGAAGCCTACAGGAACACAGAGGATGCTGAGCAAGGCAAAGGACTTGTTTGTGCTGACAGGGATCAGCAGGTGCACTAAGGCAAATTTCATGCCAATTATTTTTAACGGCTGGGAACTGTTGGGCATTTTCACAAAATCACTCACAAATTTACAAAGTGAAATGGAAATGGAGATATGTGCCAAAACAGAGAGATGGTCTCTCTCCCTCTCAATCCCTCTCCCACATCACCTCCACCCTTCTCTCCCATATTTGCTGTCTACACACCCTGAATATAACACAATACTCTAAAATGCCTTTTTAAAAACTACGTATTGAATCATATTACACTATACAAAACCAAATGTGAAATCCGTTTCTAGTAAAAGCCATGACTATATAAGGGTCATGGTCTGAAACGTGTTGAACTGGATATTGTTAGGTTTTGATGCTTTTTTTTTAGCATAAACACTATTATTTTTAAAGTAATCTCATAACCACATTTATTTCTTTAGTAAACAAAGGATTATTTTGCTTGTGGAAAGCAGAAGCATTTAAATAAAACACGTCAGACACCTGCCATAGGGACCCAAAACTAAACTGCTTATGACCTTGTCATTAGTCTTGTTTTCCATATTTTTCCAGCCTGAAACTATACACTAATAAGGCTTTTAGAAAGGAAAGATATGAATTTTAAAAAGCTTAGTTCTTCCTATTTTCAACAGAAGAAGAGTTCAGCTTACGTTAACGTTAGCTCAATTTCCAACCAACTATTTTACTGAAACAGAACTGTGTGATTATTCAGTTTTCATTTTGCTACACTGAGGAGGAATTTAAAGCGGTAGATAAGAGATCTTACTTTGTTCCTGCAATATTTAATTACTTTTAGAAGAAAGCGGTATTTCTTTGGTTAGTAAATGCTAAATTCAGTTGACATAACATACAGGGCTTAATTATATCTTACAAAAGCCAGAGCCTTACTGAAGAGCAGCAGAAGTGTGTTTATATGACCCTGAGCCATTCAAAACCTGAGAGGTCAGCCCACGGGGCTACTGGTAGATTTAAGTTTCTCTAAGTCTTTTCCTTCTTGTCTCACATGTGGCAAAAGTCTTCCCAAATGGCACAGACACACACGGCCGCATTCTGATAATATGGCACAGAAAGTCTCTCCCTCTTTCCCCATCCTTTCTTGCTCTGCCCTCTCTGCCCAAGCACTGCAGAAAAGCAGAAAGGAGAATCGAGTCTTGCTATTTTGACACTCACTGTGGCTTATTAATCCCAATTACGGTCGTGGCCAAGTGACCTTGCCTGTCCCTGAACAAGTCATGGCTGTTAGCCAGGACACACACCTCCATTCTTGCTTTGCAGGTCTTCAAGATCCAGCAATAAATCAGGCTCTTCAAAATCAATTTCCTGCCAAATCCTGCTTAAATGTAACTGCCCAACCATCACAGAACTGGTCTTTTTTCTGAGTAAGCACCAGACAATGTAACTGCGTTTAGTCAGTGTAGTACAGAATCTTCAGCCCAGACTAACACTGAAAAGGAAGGAGGAGAAAATGAAAAGGTGAACTGCTGCTGCCAGAGATGATATGGAAGAGGTGGGACAGAGATAGCTACTCAAGGAGCAGACCAGAAGAAATGTGTCTTCCTGGAGCACTTCCCATTTACAATGGCACGTGTAGCCCACCACTGTGCTTAACTGAAGCAATACTGCTCTCAGATTGCCAGGCAGGGGCAAATCTTTCCTGCTCTTCAGCTACATATATGAAACTAAGGATAAAAGAAAGCACCTGCAACCCTGTGTCTGAAATACTGAAGGGTCCTGGCTAATCACTCATCAGCTCTGGGAAAGGGAAGATGCTGGCACTGAATGGAGGGAACGTTTGGCACTGTGGTGCCATGTTCTGCTTCCCTGCCCGGCTGGCCCGTGCTCCATGTTGAGCATATGTCCCTTATCAGGCAGCAGCAACGCTCCCTGTCCTTGCTGCACTGGAACAGAACAACCCCAAATCTCCCCTCTGGAAGCCCCCCCACCCTGGAGCTGCAGGGCCATGCAGATGGCTCGCAGAGAGAAAGCAATGATGGCAAAAACCAGGGAGATGCTCAGCACAGCAGCAGGAGCCTCTGTGCGACTCCAGGTCTAAGCTGCCACAAAAGAAATCTGAACTTAACCATCAAGAAGATGGCTGACTGACACTGGAGAGAGGCAGGCACCCTTCTTTTGCAGGTTTTATTTCAAGTCAAAAGAATGAGATGCAAACCCAAGGTATATAACCTGTAGTACATAAGAGAGCCAAGCAGTCACTTAAAAATACTAAAGTATGAACTTAAAATCCACTTTTCTCACTGGTGACTTTAAATAATATCTGTCAGAGAGACTCAAGGGTCATTTGCAAGAAATTTTATGCTCATGGTATCTTTGACCTGGATACTTCTTTGGGATGCACAGGCCAGGGAGCACAATCCAACGCCTCATGTAACTTCTAAAGGTTTGAGGGACACAGGCAAAGAAAGAGTGAAAGAAAGCTTTGAAAGCTTCTTACCTTGTGTCCATTGTGCTGTGACTTCTCTGCCACCAGAAGCCTGACAATCGCATCCCATCTGCCCAGGGTCTGTGGATCCCATGCGGTCACCATCAGGATCCGCTGCTTCAAGAGCATTTGCACCTGGTGGGCAGCATACATGGTCCCATCCGCCCTCACCTTGAAGTCCAGGCTGTTGGTTTCATACTGAACTCCCTTGTTACCGGCACAGTTATTAAATTTTACTAGAACAGAGAGTAAGAGATGGAAGAAACGTGTGAGATTGGCGTGATAAGGAAAGCAGTCAAATACAAGTTTCAGACATTTAATTTTCACTGATGTCTTCTATATCTCTAATAACCATCAAGGAAATGATTTAACTGTTTCTTCGACCTTTCAGAAGCGCTCTTGTGCTTTATCTCCATTCCCCAGGGAAGAAGTTGTAAGCCATTTTTAAAGTATTTGATACAGTTTCATTAGGTCTCAAACACAGCTGTTCCCCATTTCTACAAGTGGATTTCTCCCTTGCTGCCATTATCTTTTAAATTCGACTGGAGTCTATTACCCACACTGTGGGTATTTTTTTGCACGGAATGTTCTCCATTTCCCTAACCCTTCAATAACCTACTTACCAGATAGCCTATTTGTACATTCTTAACTGAAATTCAAAAGCCCATAACAATTCCATTATCAGAAATATAAAACCAAAAGGAAAATTAAATAAAGAAAAAAATTAAAATCGTTTTGCAGAATGCATCTGCTGTTGGAACCAGCCCCCCCCCCCCCAGGCTACAGATACAATCCCACCTTAGGCAACCCCTCCACACCTTACAGCTACGGCAAGGAGGAACCATAAAACTTTGCTTCACAAACCACAATGTGTCATTTAAAAGCCTCCACTTGTCAGATCAAAGCTCCCCAGCTGCTGGTATTTTCGGTGATTTTTTTGGTCAAATTCTTTCACAGCCTGGTTTGAAAACTGTTTTTATTGGCATTATGAAACATGTCACATACATTAGGCTGAAAAAAGCTACTATATGACAAAATTGACAAATCTGATGGAAATGGAACCTGCAGCTAATCACACAGGAAACAAAACACTTTCTGCCATTGGAGTAATACACGGGGTGGAACACACATGTGGTGAAGGAAAACATATTGTGCCCGTAAAAACATCTCAAGAGAGTGAGAATGGATATATAGCTTTCCAGCTTGGATTGCTACTGGGGCTGTCATGCTGTGGCTTCTGAGTGCTCAGCAGTGATGCCTCCCAGCCTGCCCCAAGATAAGGAAAACCTGCTGGCCCAGGGCTGATGCTTAATTTTTGCACAAGACAAACTAAGTCAGATGAATCCTACCTAGACTGGCTGTGGTGGGAGGAGAAGGGATGCAGTGGCAATCCAGGAGAGTGTCGCTCCTGAGTCAGCTTAACCCCAACCGGCCCCCTTTCCCATACCACAGCTGACTGCTTCTGCAGCGCTGCTTTGAGCCCAATCAGGGAATAACCTGGATTTGAGTAAAAATACCCAAGGGATGGCACAGGCAAAAGGAAAAAGCAGCCAGGAAACTGCTCAACCCGTCCTCCTGCTAAATCTTCCCGTGCCATCACAATACGGAGAAATGAGGAGCATGCTGCAGTGGAGGAAGGGAAAATCCATTCCCTTCTTCACTAAACTGCACCTCTCAATAACTATGATCATATCATAAGCATACATCTTACAAAGGCTTTCTATGCTACATATTTATTTAGGGCTCAGGCCCTTCTCAAGGTGCCAGGTGCCATGCAGGATGGGAGCCATCCCACCCAAATCTAGCTGGTGCTGAGGACTCCCAGCCAAGGCTCTGGCCTTGAGGTCAACCAGCACACAACAGCTCACCTCCTGACAGCCAAAATTTCTTATTTCCCCAAATGAGCTTTCACTTGCCAAAGGGCTGCTGGGGGTCAATGCTAACTCCGAAACTCTGTGGTGCCACCATCAATACAACCATGTGGGCAATCCCACAGGCCAGTTCTCAGACCCAAGCCAGGCCCTGCTTGCTTTAACATTGAGGACACAGTTTTTAGGCTAGTCCAAAAAATAAAGACTCATGAAAGCACTGAATGAGGTTAAACACACACATGGTTTGGTGGCACCTACAAGAACCAACGCTGCATACCCAGAGAAACCAGGATTGCCTCAGAGACCCACGGGGCGGCTGGTGCTGCTAATGGAGAAACCCCACACCCCCAGGCACCACCCTACTGCGAGACCTTCATCTCTCAGGAACTTCTGTGAATCTCCCGTGCGTTCACAGCTACAATAAATGTGTGTGAGCACATCAAGTGCTTTGCTGCTAATACATTATTTATTTTCAGCTCCATACCATAGAATCACAGAATGGTTTGGGTTGGAAAGGATCTTAAGATCATCCAGTTCCAACTCCCTGCCATGGGCAGGGATGCCTCTCTACACCATGTCATCCAAGTCCCCGTCCAACCCAGCCTTGAACACTGCCAGAGATGTTAGCAAGAACATCACATGGTGTGTTATTGCACTCCTCTGCTGTGTAATGGCAATTTAAAAAGCAAGTTCCATTTATACCTCCAGCAGTACCCAAAGATCACATACAAAGAGATATCTGAAGAAAGGCGTGATAATGATTGCACATTAAAAACAATTCAGAGCTTACTTTGATTTTACCGAGATTAAAAGAAAGCCCTACAGTGTACTAGCAGTCTGAGAGGGGGAAAAAAAAGAATAAATCCCTTCCTATAAGTGTATGTAGTGATTTCAGTATTCAAAGTACTTAAACATCTTCTTCAGACACAGCACGTGGCTCCAATATGCTGCTCTGGTGTCATATGTCACTGTGTCGACTTTTATGCTCCATTATCTAAAAATGGCTACCTCTCAGACAAAGTCCCTCTGTGACTCGCTAATTACTTCCATTAGTTTAAAACAAACTTGACTGGAGACAGAGAAAATCCTGAGAGGAATTGTCTGAGTTTTTAAAACAAGCACTGTCTCTGCTGCACACTGCTCTGCACAGGTAGCACAGGTGGAGGGATGCTCAGCAATGAATTAACACAGCCAGCATCTCTTTGAAGAGTCCTTAGGAGCTGCAGGCACAAAAAAGCTTCAAGGACATAGGGAGTCCACAGCGTTTCCTTCCTGAACAGCAGCAACAGGCCATGGGTCACTAGAGTGGCTTTGCAGAAGATGTCAACCACACAGGGGAAATGATCCAGAAACTCATCAGGGCTGAAGTTTAAAGATCACCACGCTCACGGCTGTCAGGTGGAGCTGGTGTTGTAGGCACTGTTTGTACACAGCATAGAAAACACATCTGTAACACAGTATAGCTGAACTGTTCACACTCATCACATGGCTGCAAGGACTCTCATTAGGAAACCAGTCAGTGCTCATCCTCCTTGCTGTACTCTGAAAATGAGTCCTTGGGATGTTGTGTAACTACTGAGGTGCACTGCTGTATATATATGTCTACATGTACATACACACATCATATATATGTACATAATAAATATATCTTTGGAAAAATATCACATATATATGAGTACAGGTTTGGGGAAAAAAAAATCAAGCTATTGTTCTATAATAAATAACATAGCTCAAGGAAAAGAGATCTCTGTACTTTCAAATTCCACCCCTTACCTCTACTCTTTGCTCTCATGGAAACAGAAATTAAATTTTCATTGAGTGGCAGAAAACTTTCTCTTTTCCTTTTTCTCCTTTGGAAAGCTCCAAGTCTGCGTAATTTGCAGCTGATACAACTCCTGACTTTAAAATAATTTAATAAATAAGCAAACAAATATTGGCTCTGTTTCCTAGACTTAGAACTCTCTGTGGACACAAATCCATCTTTCTTTGACCAGCCTGAAGTCTAAAGAACACTGCATGAATTTAACATTCAAAAGCTGCAGCATCAGTAATTAGGGTTTCAGATAAACAGTGGAGCCACGCATCTATCATTTCTGCAGGATGGTAAAAACCCCACTTTTTTTTTTAACATGTGCTGGAAAAATGTTCAGTGATGCTTATCTAAAGCTTATGCTGAAAACAGCATCAAATGCCTGATGAAAAGAAAACCAAGAAGGCACCCTCATTAGCGGGCTTTTAGGTTTAACCCTTTACCCTCATCATTTTTAATTGCTTTGCTATCAAAGCAGGAAGTAAGACAAAATGATATGTTGAAACAGGTATTGAGTGATGGGCGGAAAAGCTGCAGGAGTCTGCAGCAAACTGCTGGGCATCTGAGGGGAAAAAAAAATGGTATTTTTCTTCATTCTTCAAAAAAGACACAGGGTGGAAAAAAATCCAACAAGTTTTGCATTGTTCCCTTTTATTATTTAGCTTGTTCAGCTAGCTGGACAGAGTCAAATGATCAAGCAAGGATCTTGAAAGATGTGTGAATACACTGAACTTCCTTGCCCCCCAAATGTCTGAGACATATATTGAATTTAATAGTACTATAAATGGTATAAACCACAGAATTCGCTTTAAGCCTTACCCTTCTGGATTCTCCTTTAACTTCTCCTAGTCCATTAAAAAGTGCTCCCTCTGGCAAGCTGCACAGGGCCAGAAAAGCAGGAGGGATAATACTTATTTATTAGGATATACCCCCTGGCGGGACATCATCCCTTGGTTCAGGATATGGGTCCCTTCAGGACTCAAGTTTTTCACTGTGGTTTTGGGGATTAAAGCTGCAAAGATGTTTCTTTCCCAATGAACTTCAAAGCAGCGAACATTCACCACTCTTTACAGTGGGATCCTATCCACTTTTCAAGTTGTGTCTCTTGAACAGCTCCCTTCACTCTGGCGCGGCTGTGATAAACCTAAGCTGCCAAATCCACCCCTTGCACCACTTCTGTGAACGCCGTTAGGATGAGGTCAGCTTAACTGCAAGCTCTGGAAATTTCAGATGTTTGGGTAACCTGCAGAGTCCTGAGCACGTATGGAAATGTCCCTTTTGTGCGATCTTTAGCAAATCCCTTGTAATCCTGCCCTGGCACTTCTGCCCCAACGCTCCTTATGTCTGCACTCATCCATCTTCACTGGCCAGCATTCCCCTGCATGCACCACATCGGAAATCAAAAAACCCAGCTCCTTAGTGGATAGGAACCTGTTGCCTATGCACAGGCACGAAACCACTCGGTTAGCCAAGGGAAGGTACATATACCTGGGCACCCTATGACTGCATTGGATTGTCCCAAACTAATTCCTCCATTAAGTGATAACGTGAACCA